GGGTACTTAACAAGTGAGCCACATCCCTAGCACACCCCTCCTCTTTTTTTTTTTTTTTTTTTTTTTTTTTTTAAGACAGGGTCTCACTAAGTTGCTCAGAGCTTAACAAATTGCTGAGACTAGTTTTGAACTTGGGATCCTTCTTCCTCAGTCTCCCAAGCCACTGGGATTACAGACATGCACCATGGCACCCGGCTAAAATCTTTAAGTCTCTTCATTTGTAAATTTCTTTTTTTTTTTTAATATTTATTTTTTAGTTGTAGTTGGACACAATACCTTTGTTTAATTTATTCATTTTTATGTAGTGCTGAGGATCGAACCCAGGGCCTTGCAAGCTCTTAGATGAGTGCTCACTGCTGAGCCACAACCCCAGCCCCTGTAAATTTCTTACTTTGGTTTTCTTTATATCTGTGTTTGTGCTCTCATTTCAGTTTATTAGTTGAAAAATTTGAGTCTTTTGTTTCATAAAGTTTCTCACAGTCTTGATTTTTCGGTTTGTATCCCAGTGTGTCACTCAACATGTTCCTGTTGAGTTGGCAGTAGAGGACTAGATTGGATTTTGCCCATTCTTTTTTTTTTTTATCATTCATAATTGTTTTTTGCAAAGATACAAATCACTGATGAGCAATGACTCAATGTCTCGTATGGGAGGGAAGAGTTCAGAAAATGGTGTTCTTCTAATATTCTTTCCTTATTAACCAAAGCATTTTTTGTAATGAGAAGCCTCTTTTATATTCTGTTTGCTCAAAAATACCATTTGTATTGGAAAGACAGGATAAATGCTTTTTTCTATCCTCCCTTTTAAAATCAATTTTCAAAATAACTCTTTGGTTTAATGGCATCTTATAAAGGAGATAAATTAACTTTGTTTTTTGTGTCATATGCTTATGAGTTTAAACATTGTTGACAATGTGATCCTCCTCCAGTTGACTTATAGCAGCATTATTTATAATAATTAGAATGTGGGAACAACCCCATTGTCCATCAGCTGACCAATAGATAATCAAAGTTTGACATATCCATTTATTGTAATACTGTATTATTCAGCCATAAAATAAAATGAAGCACCTTGTAAACTTTAGTAGCTTCGTTGCTATCTGGTTACATGTTCCATGTGGACGTTTATGGTCCCAAATGTGGAATAGCTATTTCTCTAAGGATCCCTGATTCCTTTTAATGGGAAATAGAATTCAGAAGCCAATCTCATGCTAAGGATATTCATTCTTGTAGATTTACTGCTATCAATTTGTACTGATACTTTCAATTGATATTCAAAACTATAAATTCAATTTGCCATTTTTTCCTTCAACTTTTAACCATTGATAATGAATAAATACAAGTACTTATGTATAGCAAAACCAGTTAAAATTTTCATGACACATATTTATTCATTCACATAGTTCACTGCTGTGTAGATGTGTGATGTGAAACACTGGACAGGGTCAAAAAATAAATTAAGACACCCTAAAATATTTTCACTGAATCCTTTTGCTCCATCTGCTCCAGACATTTCTCAACTTACCATTCTATCCCTTTCCCTCATACATTCTTTACATGTCTTCAGCTCTAACAATTGAACAGAATGAAATTAATCGGTGAGTCATAAAAATCCAGTATTTAGGTCCTGCTCTAACTTTTTCCCTAAACCAGAATGGACAGCTTCATATATATAAATTTACACATGGATTTTCCTCAGAAGTATTTCAGACTCATTATGTCCAAAACCAAAATATTCTGTTCCCCCATCCTTAACCCCTTGCAAAAATCATCTCTTCCTCTTTTTTTCCATACGATGTTTAATAAAAACACCAAAATCAGAAACCGAGAGTCAGATTCTTCTCTCCTGGTTACTCTGCAACCCCAACCTTAATACAGAATCATGCTAGGGTGATTTTCCTTCAAATGTTTCTCACAGTTGTGGGAAAATATTTCTAAGCTGTGTTTTCTCTGTCTTTACTGTCATCAGTTTAATTTGGTTTTAGTTTCTTAAATCTACCCTCTTTATTGCCATCAGGATAATCTATTTAAAATGCATAACTGCACTACTGTGGCTGCCCATGCTTATCATATAAGATCCTAGGTCTTTAACACAGTGAAACACTTATGGAAGTGACCTTAAACAAAATAATGTTCTAAGCCTCAAGTTTCCTCATCTATAAAAGTCATGTCATTATCATCTAACTTCATGTGAGATAGCATATCTCAACAACCAGTACAGATAACTTCATATGTAAATTTCCAAAACCTATTTTATCTCTCTCCTTAACCTTCTTTTGTGTTCTTTCTTTAATCAGAATATAGGGTGCAAATGAAGTGATCTCTGTTCTGTTTTAACATAAGTGAAAACTTCTTAGTATCTTAAAAGTTAGCATCCCAGTTTTGAAGTGTGACTGAATATTTAAACAGGCAAATTCTTATAATTAATATCAGCTTTTCCCATCCTCTCAAATTATTTTCAGTGTTAACTGTCTTTCATTGCATTCTCTTTTTTTTATTGGTTATTCAAAACATTACAAAGATTGCAGAATCACATCGGTTACACATCCACATTTTTACATAATGCCATAGTAGTAACTGTTGTATTCTGCTACCTTTAGCCATCATCTTACGTACTCACCTCACTTTATATGCTGAGGTACTCCAGTTTAATCTCAAATCTTCTGATCATTTTTATTACCTAATTTTTATGAAAAATATACATATTCAAAATATGTCCCATCATATAAGAAATAGAATAGGGCTGGGGATGTGGCTCAAGCGGTAGCRCACTTGCCTGGCATGCGTGCGGCCCGGGTTCGATCCTCAGCACCAYATACAAACAAAGATGTTGTGTCCGCCAAAAACTAAAAAGAAATAAATAAATATTTTAAAAATTCTCTCTCAAAAAATTATATAAAAAAAAGAAATAGAATAGGAATCTGAAATTTGAACTCTGTTTAATTTTGTTTTGTTGTTTTGTTTTGTTTTTGCAGTACTAGGGATGAATCCAGAATTTTGAGCCAGCTATGCAAGTAGTGTACCACTGAGCTATATGCCCAGCCCCTACATTTAATTTTTATTCATGCTTTTTCTATTGTAAATAAACAGCCAATATTTATTGAATGCTTACTTTATGCCAGGAATTATGCTACTTTAACCCTCTTGATTATTTAGGAAGTATAATTTTCATGATTTCTATTTTTCGGATGACAGAACTGAAGCATTAGAGACAAAATAACTTCACTAAGATTTAATGCCTGACTAGTAAATGGAGAAATTAAAATTCAAAACCTAAGATTTGAATAACTTAAAATCACTGTTTTATCAACCAAGCTATATGCTTTCCTTTGCAAAAACTTTACCCAGCTTTGAGACAAAATTAATTTTTCCACCTTAAAGTTTATGTCCTTTAGCAACTACTGCTTTCATAAACATGTATATATAGTATTKCCATCAGTTATTTAAAATAAAAGGGTAGGAAGGAAAACATTTCTGAATTACTGAATAGTTCACATTGCAAACTGTTARTACAGACACATTTTTATTACTTGTGAAAGCTACTTAAATTGTATATCAGTAATTAATAGTTTGTTCAAGAAGTTTAAATACATTCCATATTAAATATGTAACTACATACATACATATTCATCTACACATATGGAATGGAGAGAAATCAGATGTTTTCTTAAACAGAATTATCTAATTCATAGAAGTTTCAGGTACACTTCCTGGCATTTGAATTTTCCATGTTAGGTATGATTCTTTTCAAATACTCTTAATTTCATCTCTTTCCAAGCCTTTGCCTCAGTGTACATCCAAAATGTATTTGTGAATTTTTTATTACATAGTACATCAGAGTTTCTATAGACATATATTACAAAATGCATRTAATAAATATATGACTTAGAAGGCATTTCCCAGTGTATTATTCATCTTCTTCTCATCCCATAACTCCAACTGTATTAGACTTTGTACCACATTTAGACAAGACAGACTTAGCAGAAGTACTCACCCATTTTCATTTTTGTCTTCTGGCCATTTAAATTCATTTTGTAGTGTTCTCTTTCCAACTCCCTGGAGAGCAAGTCTTAGTAACTTTTCTAGTCACTTTCAGGAAATAAAGACAATCTTTTCAAGAACTAATAAACTGAATTCAAAGTTAAAAAATCAACTGTCCTTTCTTACCTCAGGCTTACTGTAGGCCTGCAGTGGAAATGTAGGGTTTGATTTGTTTCTTGTTTCTATGTTCTCACACTGAGCCCTCTTACACTCCTCTACATTTGCTGACTATGGTTTTGGCCCTTCCTGGATTAGGATAGGCTGAGGAAGAAGAAAAGGTCTGTGATGGTAGTAGCAGCAGCAATAACAGTTACTGATATTTTTGTAGCATTGATTATGTTAGTTACTGTTCAAAACACTAAATATGTATTAGGTCATTGATCCTCAGAAGTGTGGCCTGTGTTCTATTTTGCCTGTTTTACTGCTTAAGAAATTAGATACAGAGAATTTAGTGACTTAATTTAATAAATTCACACAGCTGAACCAACTGTGACAGTTGTCACAAATGACAACCCAGCATTGTGGCTCTAGATTCTGTGCACTTAAGACATTCCACTGTATGACTTTATATACTATGAAAAATAGTAAGCAAACTTCATAGTCCTGACCATGTTTAAGTCAGACTCATGCCAATTTAAAGTGTGATACAATTTCCATTCACTTGAGACAAAGGACACACATGCAGGAGAGTAGCAGGGAGTTTGTAATTCATGGCACACCRATTACTCTCAGCAAAATTCCTCTTCTGATCTTCAACTTTTAGATCACAGAAGATGAAAGAAGCACCATCTTAGAAAAGTTTTCCACCTCTTTGCATATGTGCCCTCACACCTTACCTAAATGTGGTATATTTTGGGGGCCTCCAACCAAACCAAGACTGAAGTGGTTTCATTTTAATACCCCACTGTACATTTTCCAAATATGCTGTTTAATTTCTTGACTYTATACCTTTGTTCATGCAGATGGTCCCTGGATTATGACTGTCACTTGTTCTGAAGGCATGTTTCCTCCCTCAACCACATGATCCCAATCAAAGTAAGCAATCTTGATGGCACAGCTTTAAAAGCAGAAGCCAGTTTCCTAGGATATAGCAAATGAATGAAACACTTTCTATATAGCCTTCCCATTTTTTACCTCTTCGTCTTGTTTCTATGAGAGGAAATAGCAAATATATTAAATGATGGTCTGTTTAGACCTGTCTTAACTGCAAAATGTCTTATTGTGATTACATGTCTTTAAGAAGAACATGTAAAACAGAGTTTTATTGTTTTTATTTTAATGACCTTAATTGGCTTATTTTCCATTCTTGAATCAGGCAACCCTTCAATCCATAAAATAGAGATGAGTGTTCCTGGAACAGGTTTATATTTGAACTATTTTCAGAATTATGGTCCAAGATGATTATTACAATGGCCTTCTCTATCAATCAAAAGGATTTATGCCTTTTATCCTTTTTATCACATCAAACAGGGAACAATCCCAAATTGATCATTTTGGCTTCTTGTTATTATCTTGGAATCTTTTTTTAATCTTTTCCCCCCTTTATTTTCCTTTCCTCCTCCTTTCTTTTCCCCTATATATTTATCTAAGTAGAATATTCAAAGAAATGATTATGTAGGATGGATTATTTAATGTTTGAACTGGCATTACCTACTGCATGTTTACGTTTAGAAACAGGGATGATACTATATCCATTGACAGAGATCTCTTGATGTTCAATAACTTACCAAATGTGAAATATTTAGTGTCTGGCATAAAAAGCCAGGCACTATTCTAAATATCAATATTTACAAATATCATTTAAAACTCTGGAGCTTATTTAAACAGTATTTGAAATGCTTCCCTGATTGAAGAGTTTGGAGAATACATTTTAATACATTGTGTACCTGAAGTTTCTCTCTCACTAGCATCTTTTTGTCTTTACTTGGCACAGTGGCCACCTGAAAATGGTATAAATTGCCTATTTTAGCTACTAAACCATCATTTAATATTTTATTTTATGTATTTTTTAGGACATTTGTGATTCATTTGCATCCTTGAAGAGCATCTGTAGAAGAAGAAGGAAAAGATGGGTGTGAAAACATTTACTCATAGCTCCTCTTCCCACAGCCAGGAAATGCTTGGAAAACTAAACATGCTGCGAAATGATGGACATTTTTGTGATATCACTATTCGTGTCCAGGACAAAATCTTCCGGGCACATAAGGTGGTACTAGCAGCTTGCAGTGATTTCTTTCGCACCAAACTTGTAGGCCAAGCAGAGGATGAGAACAAGAATGTGTTGGATCTGCATCATGTTACAGTGACTGGCTTTATACCCCTTTTAGAATATGCTTACACAGCTACTCTGTCAATTAACACAGAAAATATTATTGATGTTCTAGCTGCAGCCAGTTATATGCAAATGTTTAGTGTTGCTAGCACCTGCTCAGAGTTCATGAAATCAAGTATTTTATGGAATACACCCAATAGCCAGCCAGAAAAGAGTCTAGATGCTGGACAAGAAAGTAATTCTACCTGCAATTTTACTACTCGAGATGGAAGCATTTCCCCAGTGTCTTCAGAATGCAGTGTGGTGGAAAGAACCATTCCTGTCTGCCGAGAGTCCCGGAGAAAACGCAAAAGTTACATTGTTATGTCTCCTGAGAGTCCTGTAAAGTGTAGCACACAAACAAGTTCACCCCAAGTATTAAACTCTTCAGCTTCCTACACAGAAAATAGAAATCAACCAGTTGACTCTTCATTAGCTTTTCCCTGGACTTTTCCTTTTGGAATTGATCGAAGGATTCAACCTGAAAAGGCTAARCAAGCAGAAAATACCCGGACTTTAGAGTTACCTGGCCCATCTGAGGCAGGTAGAAGAATGGCTGACTATGTGACTTGTGAGAGCACAAAAACTACCCTTCCTCTGGGTACCGAAGAAGATGTCCGGGTCAAAGTAGAAAGGTTAAGTGATGAGGAGGTCCATGAAGAAGTGTCTCAGCCTGTCAGTGCATCTCAGAGTTCACTGAGTGATCAGCAGACAGTGCCAGGAAGTGAACAAGTCCAAGAGGACCTTCTGATTAGTCCACAGTCTTCCTCTATAGGTATAATACCTTCTATGTTTTTCATAGTGCTACAGTCAATTAAACATTTTTAAGTTCTTAGTAGATTAAAAATTTTGTGTTCAGTCCTACATGAAATATAAAGAAGAGTAAAACATAACTGGATTTTTAAAGATGTTATTAGCACTACAGTTTCCTTTTTACAAGTTACACATCAGGGAAGGGGGGAAAAATGTTGACAGTACATGATGGCACAAAGCCAGAGATACAAATTGTGAATTACTTTCAGTGTAAAAGAAAACAGCTTTTAAAAATCCAGTTAGTGTTTTATTCTTTATTAAAATATTTATTGAGAACTTATATGATAAACATTGATGATGCATGAAGACATAGTTCATGCCACAAAGAAATTAATAGTCTAATTGATGAAGCAGTTATATAAATAATTGATTACAATGAACTGTTAAACCTAGAAACTAAAGGTATGAGCATGTATGGTTGCAACAAGGGAAAGAACAAAAGTAGGAGTTGGCGCAGGCTCGGGAATGACTCTTCAATGAAGATGCATAAAAGCACAAAACCTGTAGGAAAGTATAGAGGCATGGAAGAACATTGCATATTTGGTAAGCAGTGAATTCAGTGCAGAATAAAGTATGGGGAACAAATGGGAAACCAGACACAAAGGAGCAGGTTGTGAAGAGCCTTAGCCTTGGATACTTGTTTCAATTAGGATTGCTTTCTACTCCAATACAACAGAATGCCTCTGCAGTTGCTTTAACAACCAGGATTTTTTTTTTAATCATATAACATGTTCACAAATGGTAAGTCCAAGACTAGTGTGATGGACCTAAGCCCCTTGTGTATTTATAATCTAGTATCATTAGTTATCAGTTTCATCTATATGTTTGCTGTTTTTGATTATAAGATGCTCACTTCATCTTTATCTTTGCATTCTAAAATGGGGCATTGCTTTTATCAGGAAAGCACAAATATTCCCAGAAATCCCTTAAAAACTAATGCCACAAACTAGTATGTAACTTGGTTGTAGAGCCTTTGCCTAAGGTACACAAGGCCCTGGGTTTAATTCTCAGCATTGAAGGAAAAAAAAAGCCAGAACACACAATCTAATGCCATTCTGTGTCGTGATCTTTCCTAGTTGCAAGAGAACCTGGGAAAATAATGATTATTGGTTGTGTATATAATTGCCCGGAACAAAATCAGAGCAGAATGGATATTGTAAGCCAAGTAAGCTTGGATTTTATCCTTGTAGTAGTAGGTAGTATACCTTAAATAGAAAATAAAACACATATACACATATTTTAGGAAAATTAGTATTGTCATATAGGAGTTTGACTATGTGGAGAGAGGCTCAAAAACCAGTTGGTGTGATGAAGAGTAAAACCCTAAAGAAAATGGATATTACTAGACTTTGTAAAGGAAAAAATCTATGCTACTTGGTTGAATAGATACACTGAAGGAATGGAAAAAGAGTCAAAGTACTTGGGACAAAATAGTAATAACATTTTTTTATAGTCATTGATTCTAAGTCACAATTTTTTTATAACTTACTATGAATCCATATATGTGTTACAGTTGATCATCTTTCACAGTTACTTTTTCCTTTCTTAGTGGTACAAATAATAATGGTAATTATATAGTTATAGCATCTATTAAATGCAATAAATACAATATGAAAATCAATGGAAGTAGGACCTAGTTTTAAGAGTAATCAGCAAGGTTAGTTCTATGTAAATTGTACTTGGATTATGACTAAGCAATATCATGCCAAAAGCAGTTGAAATGGCAGGATTGGTAATAATATTACCTATTTGGGACTTTTCTCTTTTAAAATTTAGCAATGGCAAATTCAGTCTCAGTAGGAAAATATGTAAGAGCCAAGACCAAAGGACTGATCCTTGAGAAATATCTATATTCAGGTTTCAAGAGGGATTTAAAAAGTCAAGTGAATAATAAAGATGGTCTTTCCAAAATATGGAAGAACCAGAAAGATCATATTAACTTTGTTAATTTCTTATGTTTTTACCCATTAAATGAGTTTCTTAGGGCTACTACAACAAAGTACCACAAACTGGATGGTTAAACAATAGAAATGCATTTTCWTACAGTTGAGGCCAAAAGTCTAATGGTTTATAGGGGAGAATCCTTCCTGCCTCCTCTGGCTCTGGTAGTTGCCAACATTTCTTATATTATAGCTACATGACTACAATTTCTAACTCCAGTGTGTCTGTGCCTCTACCTTTGTCTCTAAATTTCTCTCCTTTTAAAAGACATCAGTCACTGGATATAGGGCCTACCCTAATCATATATGAGCTCATCTTAACTTGATTACATCTGCAGAGACACCCATTTACTAATAAGATTTCCTTCATAAGTAAGAGGGGATTAGACTTCAGTGTATCTTTTGTGGGGGCAGTTTCACCCACAATACTTAAAGTTTATATTCCTGATTTGGGACAAGATACTTTTGAAGAATTTTAGTGAACACACATCCAATAAAATATTTAATGGCAGGAGATCATTGCTTGTTAATATGACCGAGTTTTTGCTTAATTACCATGGTCTCTAATCTTGAAAACATGTTTGTGCCTTCTGAATTATGAACTGCTTAATGAATAATTACTATTTTAGTCATTAATCTGAGGATTTAGGAACCAAAATATTAATCTAACTTAAATGTCATGCTAATAAATGAAGTAGTCATATTTACCACTCTCATGTATATCTAATACGTTCATATTTTGCCTATATGATTATATATGGAAGTTATGGACATTACTAGTAGAGTAAAACTTGGAGTTACATAAGTAGAATTATTATAATTGTGAATCCTATTATAATTGGAACATAGTAATAATTGCTCTGAATATAATGTAATCAGATCATCTAAATGGGGTTTTTTCCTACCCATAGAAGTGTACTAATGACTCTCAGGAAACCTATCTTAACTGCAAATTTATGCAAAACAAAGCCACACAGGAAAAAAAGTAAATTCCTGGGGTATTGTGGGCAGTCAACAAATTTGGGAGGAAGAAAAGGGAGATGTGCATAGTACTTTATTTTCTATATTTCATAAGAATAGTTCTATAAGTAATTATTTTTATTTACTAATTCATTTTAAAAAGATATTCAGGAAATGGCTTGCCATTTTGATKTTTAATATGTTCATTCTGAAATTATAAAATAATAATAATTTGATTACCCATGTAAATAATCCAAGTGGAATTTTACCTGTTAAGTTTTCCCTTTTTTCCAGTAGCCCACATTGTAAAATCTAACACCTTCAACTTAGGGCAAATAGAAGCAATAAATACAGCAAATTTTTTTTTTTTTTTTTTAAAGAGAGAGTGAGAGAGGAGAGAGAGAGAATTTTTAATATTTATTGTTTAGTTCTCGGCGGACACAACATCTTTGTTGGTATGTGGTGCTGAGGATCGAACCCGGGCCGCACGCATGCCAGGTGAGCGCGCTACCGCTGAGCCACATCTCCAGCCCAAATACAGCAAATTTAAAGGGGGAAAAAAGGGATGTGAGYAGTAAGTGTAGGTGGGGTCTTGTTACTCAGAAAGATAAGGCTATTTTTATACAGTTTAAGAAAAAAAAATGTAAGTGAAAGGGCTTCATTTTATGAATGACTTAATGATTTATTTTGAACTATAATTCTAGATAGTCTGCATTTTACTGTATTAACAAAGGAATTTTATACTCTAAAAATCTCTGCCAGCCAGCTACATTGGCATATGCCTATAATCCTAGTGACTCAGGAGGCTAAGGCAGGAGGATTACAAGTTCCAAGTTAGCCTCAGGAGTTTAATAAGACCCTCAGCAACTTAGTGTGAACCTGTCACAAAGTAAAAAATAAAAAGGACTGGAAATGTAGCTCAGTGGTAGAGGGATTTAATGTAGCTCAGTGGTAAAGGGATTTCATTCCCCAGTACCTAAATAAATAAATGTCTCTGCCATTAACAATAAAGTGGTTGGGACTGGGGGAATATCTCAGTGATAGTGCACTTGTCTAGGATGCACAAGGCCCTGGATTCAATCCATGGTTCTATAAAAATTAAAATTAAAATTAAATGATTGTGTTAGGGTGGTCAGTTAACATATTAAAAAATAATTTGAATTTTCTTTTTTTATATATTTTTTCACTTATAGGTGGACACAGTATCTTCATTTTATTTATTTATTTGTTTACGTGGTGCTGAGAATTGAACCCTCACRAATTTGAGGCAAGTGCTCAACCACTGAGCTACAACCCCAGCCATGAGTTTTCTTAATAGCAATAAATGATAAATTTATTGAGGTGGGAAGCTAGAATAATGGTGGAATTTCAGCATATACTATATGGAAAAGCAATATAATATTATGATTAAAAGTTACCAGTTTTTCCCACTTAATAGATAATGTGACTCTGAGCAAATCACTTACTTAACACCACCAGTTTCCCTAGCCATAAAGATAGTGATATAATCACTCCTCCTACTTATGGTTTCACTTTCCACATTTTTAGTTACCTTCCATCAAATACAATACAGAAATATTAAGTGGAAAATTCCAGAAATAAATAATTCCTAAGTTTTAAATTTTATACCCTTCTGAATAGTGTGAGGAAATATTGTACSATCCTTCTCCATCCAGTCTGGATGTGAGTCATCTCATTGTCCAGTGTGTCTAGGCTGTGTAAGTTAGCCCTCTAGTCAACTTAGTTACCATTTTGGTTATTAGAACATTATCCCAGTACTTATGTTTAAGTAACCCTTTTTGAGAGAGAACAAGAGACCACATTTACAACTTTTATTATCACATATTGTTAGAATTGTTCTATTTTATTGCCAATCTCTTACTGTGACTGGTTAAAATTCACCATAGATGTGTATAGGAAAAACAGTACATATATAGGTTTCAGTACTATTCATGGTTTCACACAGTTCCTTGGAGGGAATGAATGTATCCTTACCTGATAAGGGGAACTACTGTACCTATTTGTCATGTCAGTGCCCTCCAGCCAATAACCACCAGGAATG